GAGGCACCGACTGCGGCAGGCACCGAGCTCCTGTCCCCGGGGCACATTGCACACGACAGTCACCGAAACCGCTGGATGCCCTTGGCATAAATTAGAACTTGGAAAGGAATCTCAGCGAGTAACAGGTATGTGGCCTGAAAATAACCAAAGCGGGCACGCGGGGAAGTTCTGGAGAGTCCTGCCGCTTTGCAGGCAGTCGGGACTAAACCCCGTGCCAAGCGTGTTCGTCCCGCGTGGCTCATCCCTGCCCGTCCCCGCTGCCGCGGCGGGCAGAGGCGAGGCACCACGTGCTCCGGGGAAGCGGGACCGGGTGCGAAGCAGGCAGGGGCTGAGCAGGCTGTCTCTCGGGGGCCGGGGGTTCAGGTGATGGCTCTGTCTGCGTGTCCGTCGTGCCCTGCACCGAACGGGAGTGAAAGCTGGAGCAGTGCGTGACCGTCGGGCTGAGCTGGGCAATGAAATGCACTTTGCTGCTGCTTTGATGTCTGCTTTAAACTTGCCTGTGTCCTCTCTTGAGGCAAACCAATCTCGTTCCTTTGTGGCAAAGCTTTAATCCGGTTTGGAGCTATTGTCGAGTTAGATTCCCATCTGGATAGGTGAATTGGGAATAAAAGCGCTGCTTTTTTTTTTTTTTTTTTCCCCCCCCTCCCAAATTTCTCAGAAGCTTTGATTAAGTTCTGTTTGCCCTGGCCGTAGTTTGGTCACCAGTGGGATTCAAGTTGCATGCCTTGCTGAGGAAGAACAAGGGGGAGCTGCTGAGACCTGCCAGAAGTTAATGCATCACTTGATCTAAGTGTACGTTTCTGCATTCTTAAAGAATCGAACTGTAAGTACTGTTCAAATTGAATTTAAAATAGTAAAGCCAATTAGGGGAAGAAAAAAAAAAACAAACCCAAAATCAACCATAGAGGCAACCCCACAAATGAGGTATGAAGGCAGCCTGAAAGAATAAATGCAGAAAGTGCTTGGTATCGGTAACGTCCTGCTGGGTGCTCTGAAAGATCGGGGATCCCGGTGCTGGTTGCTGTGAATTGCTTCTTGACGTATCAGCAAATTTTGTCAGAAATCTGTAATACGGTAAAACAACTATTGTCTTACTCTTCCCTCTGCTGTTCTCTTGTATCTTGATCAACTCTCTGACGACCGAAGTGCCTTCATTTGTGCAACTGCATAAATGAGCTCTTCCTCTAGGTCATCCCGTGCCCGCTGTAAGTAGTGATACCGAGTCAGGTTTATTATCTGAAAGCCCGTGGCGAGCGCTGGTCCGCAGGCAGGCAGCTTCGCCCTTACGTGCTGCGGTTCCTGGGTGGCTGCGCCAGCTGCGCCACGTTTCCTTTTGGTGCCTGTTTGCGAACGGGAGACACGGCGGCAGCTGGGGCTGACTCTGAATCGCTTGGCTGTTTCTGTAGGTGATTTAATGTTTGGTTTACGTTTTGGTTCCGATTCAGAACCTGAGCATCCGCGTGCAGCAGGGGTGTCTGCCTGGAAAACTTGAAGGACAAAACCGTTCCGTGGATACTTACTGTAGGGGATTTTGGATGTAATTTGGTGTTGGTAGACAGCGGCTGAACGTGAGCCAGCAGTGTGCCCAGGTGGCCAAGAAGGCCAACAGCATCCTGGCTTGTGTCAGGAATAGTGTGGCCAGCAGGAGCAGGGAGGTGATTGTGCCCCTGTGCTCGGCGCTGGGGAGGCCGCACCTGGAATACTGTGTCCAGTTTTGGGCCCCTCAGCACAAGAAGGACATTGGGGTGCTGGAGCGTGTCCAGGGAAGGGCAGCGGAGCTGGGGCAGGGTCTGGAGCACAGGGCTGGTGGGGAGCGGCTGAGGGAGCTGGGGGTGTTCAGCCTGGAGAAGAGGAGGCTGAGGGGAGACCTCATCGCTCTGCAGCTCCTGGCAGGAGGGGGCAGGGAGGTGGGTGTTGGTCTCTTCTCCCAAGTAGTTAGCGATAGGACGAGAGGAAATGGGCTCAAGCTGCGCCAGGGGAGGTTTAGATTGGATATTGGGAGAAATTGCTTCACGGAAGGAGTGGTCCAGCATTGGAACAGGCTGCCCAGAGAGGCGGTGGGGTTACCATCCCTGGAGGCGTTCAGAAACCGGGCAGAGGTGGCACTTTGGGACATGGTTTAGTGTGGACTTGGTAGCGTTAGGTTAACAGTTGGCCTTGATGATCTTAAAGATCTTTTCCAACCTAAACGATTCTCTGATTCTCACCAGTAAGTGGTGTGTCACAAAATGGTTACGGGATCCACGTCGGCGAGCTTGGCTGCAGGTAGAAAATCAGCTTGCATCTCTGGCACACGTGCCGCAGGCAATGCAAGCAGGCAGGCACAGAAGCGAGATAGCCCTCATCTGTGGCAATCATCAGCTGGGCACAATGATTGCTGCCGCTACTGCTGTCACCTGGCTGTGCGGTGTGTTGGTCTTGTCACTTGTTACTTGTGCAGCCGGTAAGGGGAAAGCTATCAACAGCCTCAGACGCCGTTCTGCCAGTAAGAAGGGAACTTGTGCAGCTCTCACTGTCGAAGACGCTCTTTCCATGGCATGAATGATCCCTTTGCAAGAGCAGCTCCTTCCTGTAGCTTGCAGTTTGTTCTTCAGGGCAGGAAGCTCCGTTCTTAAGGCGAAGGTAAGCGGTACTTTCAACCTGCTGAGCCAAGCCGCAAGCGTTAGTTCCTTTAGCGTAACCCGGGCGCTGGAACAGGCGTGCAGAGGGGACCTGCGCTGCCGGAGAGCAGCTGCGTATCCCGGGAGAGCGGGCAGGCTCCCGATTCACTGTTCCCATCCCGCTATGGCATCTGGCACCCTGGCTGGGAATGCAGGGCCCTGTGGAGGGCCTTTCAGCAGCGCTGACTTCATCTTTTAGAATTAACCCCCTATCAATACATACTTTTGAACGTTGAGCATATAGATCTGCAGAGGTTCTGTAAAGCAGGTTCGTTCATGGTTTTTAATGCGTCGTCCAGCTCATGGGCAAGAAACTATGTACGTAGGCTCAAAGCTGAGGGGGAAAAACATGAGCTGTGGTTGCTGGGGTATGAAGTTCCAGCACGTTAATTACTGCGTGTAGAATTTTTCTGCTAGCATTTCCACTGGTTAATGCAGCTGATGAAGATGCTTAAGCTAGGGCAAAGGGCTGGGAGGAAAAGCAGAACCAGACACGCACCCCAGCTTCCTGCAGGGAGCTTTGCGGGCTTTTGGCTGGCCTCTTCAAGGAGCACACCGAGACCACGCGGACCAAACTTATATTTTATTTAATGAAAATGACAAAAGACAACTTGCTTCTTTCAAAAAGTCAGGCCGTCAAGTCACAGCTTGTGATAGAAAAGGAGGGTGCTATGCTGGGGCGGGGGGAAGAGCCCTGCCACAAAATGAAAACCTTCCCTGTGGTACGCAGGCAGGAAGGATGAATAAATAACGTAGCCCGAGTGTGCCGCTGCCCGGCCCCCGGCTGCGTGGGCACCTCGTGAACCTCACCCGCTCTAAACCCGGGCGCCGAGTCCTGCTCCTGGCCAGGGCAGAGGCTCCCCGCCGCAGCACAGCATTCACAGTTTGCGGTAGCTCTGACTTGCCTCACAGCACCTCCTTCGTTGCACCGCTGGGTCACGTCACATCTGCTCGCACGTGCCATTCGCACTAGGTCTCCGATGCTAAATGTTTCTGGAATGCTCGGGCACCGCTTTCTTTGGGGTTTAAAAAGAAAAGTGTGGCTTTCTCCCTGCACACGTACAAAGCTCGCTCTCTTCTCGGTGCCAGTTCTGGCAAATTTAATACTTCAGAAAGCATTATCTGTTAGCAGAGCTGCTCAGGACATCAGTCCTGCACAGTCTGACGTTCAGGAATTCCTCTCCTACAAGGTAATATGATGAGCAAGGAAAGCCAGAGACTTTCTTCCTGCCCTGGTGAGCGCTGCTGTTACACAGCGTGAGGGTCCCCTTGCTCCTGTCTTGTCCTTGTCCCCCATTTATTTATCCTGCGTCGTTACGCGAGACACTTGCTCAGCGTATGAAATCCATCGGAAACCCCTTCCTGCTCCGTGACAGGACTTGCGGGTGTGGTGCTGTTATTAATCCAGTGCTGTCTGGATTATACCTTCAAACTAGGATAACAATCACCTAAAAATGCTGGCCCTATTGTTTAAAACAGAAGTAAGAAAACACTTTATTTTAAAAGAAGGTGCTGCCTTGGTTTTTAAAAGTGCAATAGAGTTTTAAACTGACCCTTTGTAGTTGGTAAAACTGCTTTGCTATGGAGATTAGCAGTCAATAAAAACTGCTTGGGGGGGGATTAGTTAAAGGCATTTTGTATTGTACAGTCTGGTAAGACAGAGTAAAGTTAGCAAAACCCTGAAGGGCACGTGCTGGTTGGTGAGGGCCTAAGGCAACGGTGGTTGCGGACAAGAAGTGATTTCCCACAGCGCGTAGGAACCGGGATTGGGTCTTTGATGGCTTAACCAGGGAGGAGCACAGACCGTGGGCCCCTGGGCTCCAGGGTAAGGCCTTAAGAAAAACTGGAAGGTTTGGTTCTCAGTCTTCTCACTCCTAAATCAAAACCTGGGTTCCACCTGAGGACTACTCGCACAGAGCCCGCAGCGGGAGCTCCCCCTTCCTGGAAAGCAGCTCCTGCTCACTCTCCCATGGGGCAAGTCAGACGAGCTCTAGTAAGAGAAGAATGGAGTGAGCTGGGTGAAAGGCTCGATCTGTCACACTTCATCACAGCTATTTTAAAAATCTTCTGAGAGTTTTTTTTTGGTTCTCTCTGGTGCAGTTCGTAGCCTTCTGCCAACTTGATCCCTGAGTTGTAGGATTGTGACCGAGTCCCTCCTGTCCCCGGCCTTCTGTATTTATACGATGTTAAAAACTGCGGGGTAGCACACGCTGCTTAGGAAGGACATAAAAATAGAAAGATAATACCAATTTGTCGTTATCCTCTGACAAACACAGCTCTCTCGTGTCGGCTGTTCTGTTCGCTGGGACCTGCCGGTTCCGCAGAGGCGGTCGTTCCCCGCTAGTCCCCCGCCGGCGGCTGTAAGGGAGGGCACGGGGAGCTGCCTTCTCCGGGCCGCGGCTGAGGGCACGAGCCACCCGCGTTCGCCCTCCCACCGCTCGCTGCCCCGTCCTCGCTGTACAGGTGCCCGAATCCATCGTAGTATTCGTCAGTCTCCATGGCGTCGTCAGGAGTCTGGGCTGCGGTAGGCGTGAAGGGTGCCAAAACTGGCTGGCTCGCAGCACCCCTCGACCTCACTTGACGGGGATTCCTCAATCCAGGAGGGAGGTGGTAGGGTAGCCTTGCCTTGGGGTGGCCCTGGATGGCTCCACTGATGGGACAGAAAATATAAACGGCATTGGATGGCTGCAAGCACGTTAGCTTTTGATCCACAAGCTCTTTGCAGTGGATGAATTCAGCGCTGTTAACCTGTAAGGAAAGATGCAGGTTTTTTTGGTAAGTGCACGATAAATTACTCTCTCTTCTGGCCGCTGCTCCTGTAACTCTGTAATTAGGGGGAGGGCAGGGACAGGCTGCGTTGGATGCCTCGGTAGATGCACATCAGCAATATGCACCTTGGCCCTGATGCAAAACGCTTAACCAGGAGCTCCTGACCTACAACACAAAAGGTGGGCAAGCGTTCCCTCTTTTTAGGAGGCGACAGCAGGAGGCTGAGTTATTTCAAATTCAAGACCACAACACGGGTCCACGGTAAGCTGCCAGCCTGGGTCTTTAGCCTTCTAGGTATACTCTCTTAAAAGGCATGTGTCTTAGGAAACTGGAGAAAAGCTTTAAAAAAACCCAAACCCCCACAGAGCTTGCCTTTAACGTGTATCATTAGAAGCCAAACTGATGATATTTTAAAAGCGTTACAACTGTACTTAGAAGTTCTCGCAGCCTTCAGTGGGAGGCTGGGGACGCGGTGGGCAGGTTTTTAGGTGCTCTCAGACACTCCCGTTGTGGGAGAATCTCTCCTTGCTCAGCAAGCAGGGAGCTGTGGCCAAGCAATTTGGAAACCTCCCTTCCCTGCCAAAGGGAAAGCCCTCTCCCCAGTCCCAGCCCGTAACCGCAGCTTTATTCCCCCTCTCGTTAGCAGTAGCAAGGTCTGCAAGCAAAGGCAGAACACGGGAAGGCTGCGGAAGTGCAATGTTGGTTGTAAACACACGTGCGCTTTATTCATTTATCGGTGTCCTGGCCTCAAGATTTGTGACCAAAGGCCATCTTGATTCCTACCTGTGCTTTTTTTAGCAGATCAGTAATAACAGGAAACCAGTCAGGAGTCAGCCTCTCCAGCTCTAAGGTGATGATCACCAAAGCCAATGTGGAGCCCTTAAACTGCACTAGTTGGTGGCACGCCATACAGTGCTGTAGCTGTTTGGTCAAGAACGCGACATGGCGGGAAGGATTCCTCTGAGGCAGCCCATGTAGTAGATGGGGCCAGTTGGACATCACCATGGCATGGAACTGGAGAGAAGATAAAGTATATATATATATATATAAAACACACAAAAAAAAAGCAGAGGTCAGTGAACTTTGTATGTTTTCGTATGTTATCAACTGGAAGTACAGACTAATTTCATCTCATATCAGGAAACCTAAAGGGTTCCTTCCCACCCCCCCTTTTTGGTTTTTTTTTTTTTGTGTTTCGTGTTTGTATTTGCCAACCATTGAACTGTTTTTTTGAGCTTATAATGAATGTACAAGGTCTGTGTTTCCTAACAATTGACGAAGTTTCTACATTATCCAGATTGCTATCCAGGAGATTCAATTCAGGCCAGCAGATAGGAATAGAGTAAGAACCAACAATAATGACTGCACTCTGAATTTACCGAGGAAACAAGCACCTAAGAAAGGCCGTTTTCACAATCAGCAGCCTAAGATGGCTTAATATTTGCACATAACCTTAAAAAAGGGATCCAGGATGTGTTTGTATCACATGATTTTTGCCTTACTAGCACATGCTCGTTTCTTGAAGACAAAGTTTAATTGTTTCTATCAAATGTTTAGTAACTGCAATGTGAACTAAGTGCCAGATTGGGGTAGTCTCATTGCCTAAAACAAGGGTGAATAATTAAGGTGAAAAGGAAAATGGTTTAAGAAAAAAAACCTGTGTGTGAAATGTAGCAAAACTCTTTGACAGCTTTCTATGTACAGTATTAATAGAATGGAAATAGTTAGAAATATTTTTGCAGTGTGTATTTAAAAAAATAAAAATGGCGTATAGTTGTGCATTATGAGAATCTTTTTAACGTCCATTTTAGTTGTCCTTTAAAGAGGGGAGTTAAATTTTTTGAGCAAAATGAAAGGTTTTAAATAGCAGAAAATTTTTAAAATAAATAAATTCAAAAAAATCACCGTAACATTCTTCAAAAGATTTGCAGATAGCTAAGAACAGGTAGTTTGCAAAGCGTCTCGGGAAGGATGTGTGGGTGTGTGTATGTGTGCGCATCTGTGTTTTCTAGTCTTATTTGATAAGGAGCTGTTTCTTTAAAGAAAAAAAAAATTTGCAAAACTTAGTGCTTACAATGTTTAAGAAATCCATTGGTGTTGCTGTGTAAAGATCCCAATGCAGCTTATCTAGTATAATTCTTTCCATTCTCAAGATCTCAGCTGGCGAGCGTTTACAACCACTCTGCGCTGCAAGCATCTTCACCGATGGTATTACCTGTAAAAAAAAAAAAAAAAAAAAATTAAAAAAAAAATTAAAAACAATAAAGAAGCCAACGTCCTACACAGTGCTGTGTGTGTTTCTCTGTATTGCGAAGGGACCTGACAAGTTTATACGCATCCCAACGCGCTAGGCAGAATGCTCCTTCAGGAGACCGCTCTCCTAGATAACTCCCATCCAAAATGAAGACTGGTGCACGCTTGCCACGGCGCAGCTGGCTACGACCCCACAGCACGAACGATGCCGTTCACCTCCTGGGTCACCGTGAGCCTCCTGAAGGCTGCATCGGTGATACGTGCTCCCTGCTACCAGTCTCATTTAGTTTGCTCCACTGACAAGGAGGCTTCCTGTTGGCCTGTTTTACAGGGCCTGCTGTGGTTGTCTTGTTTCCTGTGGTCATTGACTCAACTTCTCCTTTTTAGCTGAGGGGAAAAGAAGAATAACCTCGACGTGACACATCCCAAGAAAGGCTACAAAGAGCATTTCACTACAGCAGACGTTGTTCAGAGAGACAGGCATGTCTGACTCCAACTCTTTTTTCAAAACAGAATGAAGGAAAGAGGAGAAATGCAATCTGAAATGCTTTTGGCTCGTGTTTGTAGACCTCTGAAGAAGTCTACCAGTGCACTGCCATGAGAGATTATCCTGTGTAATCTCACACTTACGTGGGTAGTTGCTGATTTTACACGCTCACCTTGGAGGTGCAGACCTGAGTCATTTCCTCACCAGGTTCAGAAACCAGTCTCGACTCTAAGCAAACTCATCTAATTTTAAGCTTCCTCTGAAGAATCTCTGCTCTGTCTTGCCTACCTTACCCTCCCAGGACCTGTAACAACAAAGTACAGCACTCCGATGTTGTGTGCACAAAACTGTGCACGTGCATCTCGACTGTCCCCCCCAGGCTAAGCTTTACTGCGAGCTGTGGATTCTGAAAAGAGGAGAGCGGTTTAAGGGCAGGAGGAGGGAAACACATCGTCCTTCATCCATAAAGGTCACAATTCTTCCAAGCAACGATGAAACAGGACCAAAACCATTGCTGTCACCCCTTAAGGACTGCTTAAGGTAAAGAAGCTAACACTTCCTCATTATGCCCAAGCTGTTGAAAGACCTGGCAACATAAACAACTTGAACATAAGAGATGAGTTTGGTGTGTTTAAAATTAAACATACAGACCTCGTCTTCTTCATTGGTTTTTGCTGCAAGGACAAGGCAGGAAATTGCTATGCACTGAAGATATTTTAATTGGGCCTGAAGGGAGAAGAAGAAAACACTGAATAAAGAAGATAACAGTCTTGGGGGGGAAATAACTGTCATTCTACTACAGATGCACAAGTTTCAAACTTAAATGAAAGTTACAGTTGCTTCTGAATTAGTGTGGCTGCAGAAAGATTCATTTGAGGCTGGAAATAGAGCAAGGAAATCCAAAGTGAAACAAAATAAATCGTCGTCTTGGTGCACTTTTTATTCATGTAGCCCACAATCTTTAGGCTATGCAATGCCACAGTATTTACAGTGCAATGTTATTCCTCTTCTCAGCTGAGACAATTAATATGCTTTTGCCAGATGCCAGTATTGCTCTAAAAAGAATTGAGAGCTGCAAGGCTCGGTTCAACTCATAACTTTGCTGTCGCTTCAACAGCAGAAAAAGCTGGCCCCATGGTTTAGTTAAAAATAGTGGTTTCAAAACTAAAATACTAAAAGTGATAATGCAAGTGTTTTCTGTTTAGCAGAGACAACCGGATGATAATGAGTTCTTTGTACTTATCACAGCATTTGGGCTACAAGTCACACAAACGCTTCTACCGAGGACTGTAAATCAGTGGAAGCTCATCAAGCACTCGAGTTCATATATATAT